GAGAAAAGGGACGGGACGGCATGGCCACTCTCTGAGTGAGAGAGAGGGCCCCGGCCCCTGCCTGGACAGGCTTTGATTGCTTTTCTGGGAACATTGCATCAAGGAAGGTCCTTGTTCATCATGCACAGAAAAGGATGCTGCTGTTGGCTTCTTACAAATAACAAAGCAAAGGATGTTGCAAATGCAAGGGAAAGAGCGGTCATACTGCTTACACTCCATCCTTGGGAGGATTAGCACACACTGGAGACTAAAGTTACTTTAGAGATATGCGGGAAACATTTGCTGCCTCGATTCAGGGCGAGAGAGTTTTAGCCAGAGCAAACCTCAAAGCAGCCTAGGTACAACGCAGGCATGGTTCCCCACGGGAGAACCTGTCCATGGCCGTGGGTCCCGTGAGCTGCCTTCTGCCTGTTGTTGGTTTTCCGAACCAGGGCTGGGCTACATTCACCACTGCCACGAGGACCCGTTCCCTATGGTAAAGTACACAGCTTGGGACTGGCTACTTCGAATAACTTCAGTGGGCTTTGTACTATAGGGGTGGTTCTTACTTGCCTGACACCTGGCTGTGGGATTGATTAAGGCAGAGGGATATTGTCCTGGGGAACAAGGGTCCGATGTGGAAACCTCTTAACACCGTGAAACGCTTTAAATGTTATTCAAACGTGCACTAGCCACTGACAATAGGAATGGCATTACCTTGACTTGCTTCAGCGAGTGGCTTTGCAGTTAAGTAACATGGGCATGGGGGAGTCAACCCACTCCCTGTCCACTGCACACAACAGGGCGCTAATGTGAGAAAACAGGCTTTGGGGTAGGTGTGCGTACATGAAGGAGAACGCATTTCTACAGTCGGGCTGGCACGGTAAAAACACGCCGTTGCATGTGGTAACACAGAAACGGATGAGGGCGGCGAGAGCTAACATCTGCTTCTCAGGTCCTTTAGTGTCTGATGGCAGCAGGCTGGAAAGCTTAACCACTGAAAGTACAAAAATTCAACATCCCTGGGCCTATATTTATTCGTCCCTTGAAATTGCTTGGTCGAGCATCACCCAGGTTTTATTCCAGGAGTGACCAGCCATCCTCCATCAGACTGACAAATTCTATCTGTAGCTTTTTTGTTCAAGATTTTATTTATTTATGTTTTCAGAGAGGGAAAGGGAGGGAGAAAGAGAGGGAGAGAAACACCGTTGTGTAGCTGCCTCTCGCGCACACCTACCCCCAGTAGGCCCACAACCAGGGCAGGTGCTCTCACTGGGAATTGAACCTGAGACCCTTTGGTTTGTAGGCCGGTGCTCAATGCACTGAGCCACACCAGCCAGGGCTGTCTGTGGCTCTTATAATACCTTTAGCCAGGACTAGATTTCTTACAGCTGGGGGAAGTAGTCTTATTCCTTAAAATAATGTTAGATAGCTCTGCCCTGATACTGTAGCATAACCTTAGAGAGCAACCTAACTCCCCTTGTTTCTGAGTTCTGGCTTATGACATGCCCCTTGTCCCGTATGTCAACAGCACATCCGCCTCCTGGACATTTCTCTCTGTGTTCCACGTATATAAAATGCTAGTAATAGGAATCTTTTCCCTTAACCATGCTTCTCTACTATCTGAAATAGCAGAGCTGGATGACATTGGAACATTGCATGGATCGTGGGAATATTGTAACCTTGTATGGTCTTGTTAAAAAAAGAGAAATTTTGCCACCTACCAACCAATTAGTCGTTTAAAGATAGCTGATCTCCACAAGACGAATAAACCCAGGACCAGAGAGCTTAACACACTTGCTCAAACTTCACTGCTGGGTAGAGATGGAATTAGTTTTCTTTCTTGTTTTTATCGTCAACACTGTTACAGATGTCCCCTTCTTGCCCACTTTGGCCCCCTCTCCCCCAGCCCCCCACCCCCTTGGCCTTCCCCACATTGTTGTCTGTGTCCCGGGGATGCCCATATATGCACACATGCTCTTTAGCTAATCCCCTCCAGCCCCCCCTGCCTGCCTCTCCTCTGAGATCTGTCCGTCTGTTCCATGCACCCATGCCTCCAGTTATTTTTCCCGCCAGCTAATTTTCTTCAGTAGATTCCGCATATGCGTGGGATCGTATGGCATTTGGAATTCGTTTTCAGTTCTGAGTCTGTTGGACTTTCTGCCATGATGTGTCTAATGGAAACCCATCAAAACCACCCCCAGTTGCCATTACAAGGCAACTTCCATTGCCTTGTCATGGAACTTGGTACCTTTGGCCTTCCAGTTCTAAGATAAATAAGGGCTGGGAATGTAACGTGCAATGCGATGACTGTAGTTGTTAACACTGCTGTAATGGCAGTGTTACATGATACATTTGAAAGTTGCTAAGAATGTAAATCTTGAAAGTTCTCATCCCGAGGGAAAAAAGTAGTGACTGTAAGAGGTGACGGATGCTAACTAAACTTACCGGTGGTAATCATTTTGCAATATGTGTCTGTTAAGTCCTTATTCTGTCCACACTACACTTGTACAGTGTTTATGTCAATTACGTCTGAATATAACTGGAAAAAAAAAAACACTTGCCTTTTCCCTGCTGGCTTCTAAATTCTTCAAATCTACTAAACGGTTACTGCTATGCTCAGGAAGTTAAGACACTTGATAAAGAGACAATTTCCAAAGAGATGTTGCTGGAAGCCTCTTTGTATTTTCTTGGCTCCTCCCAGCAGCTGGGCCCTAACAACGGAAGCTTCTCCCAGCTGCAAGTGCTGCAAGGCTCAGAAGCAAGACGGTCACTCCCCAGTTCCCAGGGATCAGCTGTTTTTGCAGGGAGCAGTCACTCTAAGGATTTGGCCCTGCGTAAAAGACAGGGGGAACTTCATCTTCCTTGCACTGCAAACTAATGTATGCATTTGTCTTCTCTGGAAAGGGCCTCAAAAGTTGATCCTTACAACTTCCTGATGCAGAGGATAAGTCCTGACAGTAGACCTCAGGCCTGAGGGTTTCAGCACATGTCTTCTGAGGTCTTCTCCGAAGCTGGGGTGCTCACAGTGACTGACACGGGCAAAGGTCATTCTGTAAAAATGCTCTGGGACAATTCACTGTCTTTGTCCAAACCTACTGCGCTCTTACTTCATCCCAAAGCAAGACAATTCCTTAGGAAGGGAAAGGAATTGTCTTGCTTTGGGATGAAGTAAGGGAGCTGGCACTGCATGAAGAGAAAGCGAGACCCACACAGTCTGCAGCTGGGGAGGATGGAGAATGCCACGCAGCCCGTCACTCACTGTATATAGGCCCCACTGTACCTGGTGCGTGGGCTTCACTCTCATACTACCCGTAATAACAATACCCACAGGTAGTGTGTGTTGGAGTCTTGTCTATTACTTTCAGTATCTTCCCTGGGCATACCTGTACATGTCGGTGTGCTTTTCTATTTGTGAAAATTGGTCCTACAAGGGGCATTCTCTTTTGTATATTGATTCTGTCGCTTGAAATTATGACAATTTCCAAAGGCTTGAAACTTTAAAAGTTGGAAGTTAAAAAGGATTACACAATACCATGGAAGTTCAGCAAGGAAATACAGAACAGTAGTTATCTAATTGCAGATAAGGAAAGGCTTTCTCAGGAGAGATGCAAAAACTGGTATTTGAAAAAACAAAAAACTGGTATTTGGAAAATCTGATTCGGCTTCTTAAAAATGAACATGTTGGGCCCTGGCTGGTGTAGCTCAGTGGACTGAGCATGGGCCTGTGAACCAAAAGATTGCGATTCGATTCCCAGTCAGGGCACAGGCCTGGGTTGCAGGCCAGTTCCCAGGAGGGGCCAGTTTCCAGCAGGGGATGCACGAGAAGCAACCATACATTGATAGTTCTCTCCCTCTCTCCTTCCCTTCCCTTCTAAAGATAAATCAAGGAATTAAAAAAAAAAAAAAAAGAACACGTTGGCCCTGGCTGGTGTAACTCAGTGGACTGAGCAAGGTCTGCGCACCAGAGGGGCGCCAGCTCAATTCCCAGTCAGGGCACAGGCCTGGGTTGGGGGCCAGGTCTCCAGTAGGGGGAGCACAAGAGGCAACCACACATTAATGTGTTTCTCTCCCTCTCTTTCTCCTTGCCCTTCCCCTCTCTCTAGAACTAAATACATGAAGTCTTTCAGGAAATGAGCATGTTTACAGACAAGAACTCCATAAAAATTAAATGGCAATTGAAAGTTGTTAAAAGACGCTTGTAGCAATGCACGAGGAGAAAATATATGTCAACCTTTCAGAAGTCTGCAAAGACTATGAAGATGTAGCTTACTGGAAAATTTTTTGACTCTCTCCCCACACTTGCAGTAATCAAAGGCACATGAAGTGAGGTACCACCGAGCACCTTTTAAATTCCTAAGGAGTTGTGGGTCAATGATTGTATTCAGTACTGCGGACACCGCACGCATTCCCTCATACAAGCTGGCATTGGGAGTGTGTGAATGTGTTGCAATCCTTAATCCGGGGATCAAAAAGCCTTTGGTTGCGCCCTGGCAGGTGTAGCTCAGTGGATTGAGCACGGGCCTGTGAAGCAAAGGGTCACCAGTTGGGTTCCCAGGCAGAGCACAGGCCAGGTCCCCAGTAGGGGACACTTGAGAGGCAACCACACACTGGTGTTTCTCTCCCACTCTTTCTCCTTCCCTTCCCCTTCCCCTGTCCCTAATAAATAATAAGTAAGTGCAATGTTTTCAAAAAAGCCTCTGGTTCCGTCATTTCCCTCCTAGAGAAACATTCTCAGGGAAAACCTGCGGCTGGCAGTTTTCTAGCCACCCGGCAAGGGGCCAGGCTCCCCGGAAGCCTGAAGGCCCGGAAGCCTGAAGGCAGGGGGCGGGGCCACAGGGGCTGAGGGGCGGGGCGAACGATGGAGAATGCCCGGCCTCCTCTGAGACGCGTGGGACTGCGTCATAGCGTCATAGCGTCCCAGTGAGAACTGGGCCTAGGCGGAGGGCTCCGGGCCCAGCAACGCCTTGGCAACCAAGTCTCCTCGGCCGTCTCTGTGGGGGCTCTGAGAGTCTTCAACTATGGGGTCCTTGGGCAGCCGGATCCTGGGGTACAGCGATCCAGCCCTAGCTGATCCGCATCAGTCAGAAGCCCGAGCAGGCCCCAGCTCTGGAAATGGCGACCATAAACGCAAGTGGAGCAGGCCAGCCGCGGGCCCAGAGTCTGAGGACGGCCCCAGGTCTCCAGATCGGGACCAGGAGCTCCAGCAGGTCGTCCCACCGAACCACGGTAAAAAAGTTAAGATCGCATCCGAGTGTGCTTACCAAACTTTATTTTTGAGTGGGGACACCAGTGACATTAAAATCTGTGCTCTGGGGAAAGTATGGTGCTTACACAAACGCTTTTTATGCCAGTCGGGCTACTTTGCTACGATGTTTAGAGGTTCTCGGGAAGGCTCTCACAACGAGATGATTGAGCTGCAGATTAATGACCAGAACATAGACACAGAATCCCTCCACTTTGTACTAGGCTCGTTGTACAGGGACCAATGTGTCATAAGGGAGCCCCTTCACGTGATAGGAGTTTTGGCAACGGCACACCTGCTTCAAGTAGAGGACTTAATTCGGCAGTGTGAGCAGACCATGGAGGACACAATTAGTGGGAAAACTGTCTGTGGCTATTACGCAGCAGCAGACACCTACGGCTTAGATTCTGTGAAGACGGCGTGCTTTGAATGGCTCCTCCACCATTTGATGACACATCCAAGTGTTGAGCTTTACAAGGGACTCAGAATAGACCTCATGAATCTGCTCACTTCTTCTGCTAATTTATTCGTAATGCAAAAGGAAATAGATGTATACACCACCCTTAAAGAGTGGATGTTCCTTCATCTTAACCCAGCTTGGAAAGGATCGGTGGAAGAGCTCCTAGTTCATACGAACGACTGGTTTCGCAGGCACCGAGAATGCGGTGGTGGCACCGCCTTCCTTGAAACCAGACAAGGCAGAGCATTTCAATCGGTTTTTAAAAACTTGAGGTTCCAGCATATCATCTGCGACCTGGGCTCCACAAGAGTTATTGAGCGAGACGCTCTGATACCTTCGGAATGGTTATCGCATGTTTATAAACAGCAGTGGTTCGCCTTGCTTAGAACACAGCAATGCGAGGAAATCGGGCCCCGATACATCGATAGAAAAGAACTGGAAGAATGCAGCATGCGATGCGGCAAGATGATTGTCGGGGATGGACGCTACGCCTGGGGGTGGTCAGCGTTCAATTTTGGCTTTCCTTTACGTGTCATCTTCTCCAGCCATTACGTCATTTTCAAGCAAAATAGGCTCCGTCAGCCATGCGATGCCCCAGCTTGTTTACAGCCTCTAAGAAACGTTGCATTCCGATTAACTGTGGTGCATTTCGAGTCCAGCGGAGAGATAAGTTTCCACAAGACAACCGGATACAAAATCCTCACCTTGGAAAAGGACGAGGAACGCGTGGTAATGAAGTTGGATAGCAGAGCTGTGAGATTCCCTTTACACATATTCTGTAACTTCCTGTTTATATCATCAGAAAATCCATGAAATCGAGCTTGCCAAGTAGGATATGTTAGGGTTTTGAAAACTTCTGATGATTCGCGTCATTTATTAGCCCTCCTCTTAAACACGATAAAGACGAAGAGTAACAGAAATGACATCTTTCCAGACGTAAAAACTATCATCGATGACCATCTTCGATTGATTTCTATGGACTGAAGAATAAAACAGTTCATTTCAAGAAAATATCTGTAAAACCAAATAGCGACTGCTGTCGGCATCTCCTGTTTTTCGTTTCTCATCAACAGACAGCTCCAAATAGACACGAGACTACATGCATGCATGTCTAAGGAATCAAAATAAATTCACCAGTTAGATCAATTTTACCCTAACACGGAGGCAAAATAAAGAATTCTCTTCCTTGCTAAAATCGTTGTGCAAATGTGTGGCTTTGACTGCGGCACTATTACATGAGAAGTGCCGAGGATAACCAGTTTTAAATAGCCAGACAGCCTCAGGTTTTATCACATTACAGACTTGCTGTATAACGTAGTGCTATTTTACAATTAATTCGCCCCGTGGCCCATGGACTCTATGGTTTGGAGACCTTGTATGGCTGAGTAATTTATCTGCAAACAGCTGTGCATATCTTCCACACTTAAAGGGTGCAAAAATGGACTGAAGGATATGTACACATTATATCATTATATAGTATCTATAGCATGTATTATTTGGTAGTATATTAACATGTATATCAGAAAATGTGTATTAGGAAATACATACATCGTAGCACATATGAAAGCATCATGGGGTTAGATGCAATTTTAGAGATGATATATGAATACATGTAAATACATGTTTTTATTACCCGCAAAGACCCAAGAAAAATAAATTTCTAAGTGGATGAATAGGTACTGTAATCTGAAATCTAGTTCCTTAAAAACTAGTGATTCCTACAGATACCCAGATATGAATAATTTCAAAGTATCTTTCTTTTTTATTTATGCTTCTATTGGGCTTGCTTTTCATTTTGCCAGAGTGTGCTGTGCTTCACCACAGAGGATTTGAGGTGACATTTGTTTCAAAATAGAAACCGATAGGATCAACAACATTATCCTTTAAAAATTATGTCTTCCAAACAGTCCCCGATGTAGGAAGAGAGGCGCGATTTGTCCAGTAACTGGTAAAACTTTCAAAGATTTTAGAGCACCTTAAGTGCTGCTGATGTTGCTTTCGATGATTGCCATTTTCTATGAACCGATACATATATATGTAAAATTGATATAGATATATATATATATCAATTATATCACATACTAATGGAGCACCAAGCATGCAGTCAAGAGCAATTTAATGTGCGTACCACAGCCATTTTTCAACTTTTATTTTCAAGGCCCTCGTGTTCTCAAAAACTGTAGGGATTTTGCAGTAACTTACATCACGATTCTTGTCTTAAAGATTTTATCTACTTATTTTTAGAGAGAGGGGAAAGGAGGGAGAAACAGAGGGAAAGAAACCTCAACGAGTGTTGACCTCTCCTGCGCCCCACATTGGGGACCTGGTCAGCAACCCAGGTGTGTGCCCTGACTGGGAATCAAACCAGGGACCCTTTGGTTCACAGGCCAGTGCTCAATCCACTGGGCCACACCAGCCCGGGCTACATGATGAGAATTAATGACATATATTTGAAATGTGTCTGGATTGAAAAGGTAAATTTTATCCTACTTGTCTTCTTTTTCCATTTCTCTTTCAATTGTTTCTCTACTCTGAAGATTGAGGAGATGGAATGGAATCTGAAAAGTTTTGAGATATACCTATTTGACAGTCTCTCTAGGGAAATGAGGGCATCTGTCCATTGATATCTCCTGAGGTTGAGGCTTAATTTTGGCATGCATAGAGTTCAATCTGTCCAGAAAACCAGTCATGAGAAGTGGAATATTAATTATGAGTTGTTGACTTACAGGGAAAGGAATGAGAGTCCATTGAAGGCTCAGATAGAGGCCCAGAGGGCTCAGCTATGACCTAAATTATTTACAGGCTTACTCATGTTTTGGTTTCGGCAGGGTTCATAAAGCAATGACCCCGAGTCATTTTGGAAAACTAAGAAGCATGCCAGTGGTGTATTTCTAATGCTATTGTTAACTCCTTTGTTCATGTGTAAAAGTAAGTAGAAACTTTAGGAATAAGTGGCAGTGATATCTATTAAACAAATAGACACTTTATGGGAGAATACCACAGGTTATTGGGGAACCATGGGCAATTCTACTTCCTTTTTTTAAGGATTTTATTTATTTATATTTATTATGCATTTATTTATTGTTTGAGTCTTTATGGACACTTTATTCAGGTGGCCATCAGTCTGAGAAGATGGTGGGTTATGTTCCCTAACAGACCATCTTACATTCCATTTCAAACGGGCCTCTTTTAGAGGGGGAAGAAAAGTGTAGGTAAGGGATCTGGAATTCAGGGAGAAGGTTAATCAGATAAAAAGCTCTGGGATTCTTTCATCTGTTGGCTTGTGATTCCTTATCTGTGTACTGACTGGGCTGTGGTATTTATCTGTGTCCTGGGAGGTGGTCTTAGATGTGTCCTAGGTGGTGGATGTCTCCTAAAAGGACTCAGATAACATCTGGACTGCTTGCAGTCCTCCTGGGGCACAAGGTAGAAGAACTGCTTGTGGTCTCCTGCAGTCAGGGTGGGTCATACCTTCAGTTCCTGAAACAATAGTGCTTTCTATACGTTAGTTGCTAAGTGTATTGACTATTACCTAAAACTGAAGTTTTTCCACTTTTATGTCCCCCGTCAGTTCCGTTCCTGGTCAGGGCACAGGGCTGGGTGACGGGTCAGGTCCTCATTTTTTGGGGGCGTGCAGCCCATCAGTGTTTCTCTCACACATGGATGCTTCTCTCTCTTCCAAGAAGTCCACTGATCCACACGTCAAAAGATTAAAGGAGCGGAGGCGCTTCAAACAAGTACCCTGAGGCAAGTAAGAGAAGTATTTTGGGTATGACAGGTAGTCCTTGGCAATGGAGAACAATCTCCAGCCACCTCCCACAGTTACCTCCAGGCACTGAGGCAGGGAGGAAACCTGGCTTCAGTGTGGCCACGTTCAGAATTGTGAACCAAAAGGGGCCACATACTAAACCTGCCAAGCTCAGGGACGCCTGCACGGCCACCTTACACGCTCAGAGACGGAAGTAACCACATAGCATGATCTGAAATGGAAGTTTTTAACTAAAAGCAGTTCATGGTGGGGAGTCACGCCCTGGGCTAGAATGTGCCTTGACAAACGTCAGTCTTTACCTTAATTTTGAGTCTGTCTACTGTCCCTTAGCATCTGTGATAACATACCCTTTGGAGTGTCAAAGTGTAACAGAATGTCGGGCTGTGCAGTTCTGAAACAGATTTGGGGCTCTTTTGCCCATCGCTGGAAACATAACTCCACAGCCTGAGTTAGGTGAAAAGGAAAGGAATTATTTATGTATTAATTTAAATGTTTTATTTTATTTAATTTTTTTATAAGTTTTTAAAAAGATTTTTTTTTATTTATTTAGAGACGGGGGAAGGGAGGGAGAAAGAAAGGGAGAGAAACATCAGTGTGGTTGCCTCTCACATGGCAGGCACCCTCTGGGGACCTGGCTGGCCTGCAACTCAGGCACTTCGGGCCCTGACTGAAATCAAATTGGCGACTCTTTGGTTCACAGCCCGAGCTCAGTCCACTGAGCTACACCAGCCAGGGATAGAATCGTGTATTTAAAAGTTATACAGATTTCACCCTGGCTGGTGTGGTTCCATGGATTGAGCACTGGCCTGCAAACCAAAGGGTTGTCACTTCCATACGCAGTCAAGACACATGCCTGGGTTGCAGGCCCGGTCCCCAATAGGGGGCGTGCAAGAGGCAACCACACACTGGTGTTTCTCTCCTTCTCTTTTTCCCTCCCCTCCCCTCTCTAAAAGTAAACAAAGCTTTTATTTATTTATTTTTAGAGAGAGGGCAAGGGAGAAAGACAGGGAGAGAAACATCAATGTGTGGTTGCCTCTTATGTGCCCCCAAATGGGGACCTGGTCCTGCAATCCAGGCGTGTGCCTTGACTGGGAATGTCACTAGTGACCCCTCAGTTCCCAGGCCAGCACTCAATCCACTCAACCACACCAGTGGAGGCTGCTGCTTTTTTCTTCAAGTCTTTTTTTTTAACTGCTATTCAAGTACAGTTGCCTCCATTTTCATCCCACCATTTTCCCATGCCCCACCCTCCCACCCCCCACCCTCAATCCCACCCCCTTTTGGCGTTGTCCATGGGTCCTTTATACATGTTCTCTGACGACCCTTCCCCTTCTTTTCCCTGTTATCTCCCTCACCCCTCTGCTCTGGTCACTGTCCGCTTCTTCTGTATTTCAAGGTCTCTGGTTCTATTTTGCTTGCTTGTTTGTTTTGGTAACTAGGCTCCACTTATAGGTGAGATCATATGGTATTTGTCCCTCACCACCTGGCTTATCTCACTTAGCATAATGCTCTCCAGATCCGTCCATGCTGTCACAAAGGATAGGAGTTCCTTCTTTCTTTCTGCTGCATAGTATTCCGTCGTGTAAATGTAACACCATTTTTTCATCCGCTCATTTACTGATGGGCACTTAGGTGGCTTCCCACACTTGGCTACTGCAGATTGTGCTGGTATGAGCATTGGTTCTTTTGAATTGGTCTTTTGGGATTCTTAGGGTATAATCCCAGCATGGTGATTGCCTGGTCAAAAGGCAGTCCCATTTTTAGTTAGTTTTTTTTTTTTTAAGGAAATTCTGTATTGTTTTCCACAGTGGCTGTGTCAGTCCACATTCCCACCAAGTCTGCATCCCCACCAGTCTGCATTCCCAGAATGTACCAGGGTTCCCTTTGCTCCAAACCTCCCCATTACTTGTTGTTTGTTCATTGCTTGATGATGGCCATTCCGATGAGTGTGAAGCAGAATGTCACTGTGATTTTAATCTGCATCTCTCTGATGGCTAGTGATGCTGAGCATCCTTTCATATGACTCTGGGCTCTCTGTATGTCC